GCCTTTTCCTTCTCCAGGGGATCTTCCCAACCCAGGGATCAAACCCAGGTCTCCCGCATTGCAGGCAGATTCTTTACCAACTGAGCTATCAGGGAAGCCTCAGAAAAGTGAAAGTCACTCAGTCCTGTCTGACTGTTTGCAACCCAGGCCGGAATTCTCTAGGCCAGAATACTGGAGTGGGTTGCCATTCCCTTCTTCAGAGGATCTTCCCAACCCAGGGATTGAACCTGGGTCTCCTGCACTGCAGGCGGATTCTTTACCAGCTGAGCCTGGAATCTGTAATTTTTTTTACAGTGTTTCTAGATCCCACATTTCCTTGTTCTGTGTCTTAGTGCAACTTTCGTGTCGCTAATACTCCCAGTCCGTCTCCCCACGTTGCTATTCCTGAATGCATATGGAAAGGTCAGTGTCTCACCATCTGCACATAGCTCATTTCCCCTATCACACCCTCTCATGCCCCCACACCTCCCACCTTTGTACCGTCACATGCGTATTTGCTAACACTTACTTGAATTCCCATAACATTTGCCATCTTCCTTTCTTACAAGTCTCCGGGCACCTCTTTCTTCAGCCTCCTTTGTCAGCATCATGCTCCCTCTTCCATTTGAGAGAATGAGTCATCTCACCTCCAATCTCTCTGTCTTGGCCTCGGCCCTCTGTCCTATTGAAATACACGGCCAGGCTGCACACGTGTCCCTTCTATGTTGCACACCCCACAGAAACACTTCATTCAAATGCACATGATTTTTTTTCTGAAACCAGGCCAGTTGCTCAGTGTTCACCATGATAGGCAGATACTTGATGCAAAAAAAAAAAAAAAAAAAAGGAAAAAGAAAAGGAAAAAACAATGAAAAACAATGAAAAGAGCACCCAGCCAATCAGTATAATGTCCCTTCTCTCTATGTACAATCAGCTCCAGCTGTAGGCCCTTTATCTTGAGAGTTCAGAGGATAATGCACACATATAATTAACCCAAATAAACCCACTTTCGTGAAAAACATTTTGAAGACTTCAGCACAAAAGAGCACTTTTTGGGTCCAGATCCTGTACTATTCTGAATTTTTTAAAAGACCGCACAGAAGCCTCATCAAGAGTACTCTAATTAAACTCATCAGTTCGCAGATGTTTACAGGAAAATGCTCAGCGGAAATTTGCACCAAGAATTCCTGTTTCCTAAGAAGAGAGATGGATGAAAACAATAGTAGTAGTAACAGGAGCTAACAATAATGAGTACTTTAATGAGCCTGCCGCTTTACATCGGTCAGTATATTTAAATCAGTAACCCATTTGAGGCAGTGATTATTCTCATACCTATTTAACAGATGTCAAAACTGAGGCTAGGTAGGTTAAATACATTTCCCAAAGTCAACTAGGTAGTGTCAGGGCCATGACAAGTCCTGGTTTGTGTGACTCAAAAGCATGTGCTCTTAACCACTACATTCTTTTGCCAGTATCACACATCTCTCCCATGATGGAAATCAGTGTAGATTTTCCAGCACCTCATAGTCACCAAATAGAATCTGACTGAACTACTACTGTTTTAAATTACCGGCATTTCCTCCCAGTATGCTCTCTTTCCTCACTCCTCACTTCCAACCTCTCCTCGGCTTCTGTTTTCTGCTCTAAAGATTATTTCCTGGTGGTCTGAGAGTCTGTTAAGGGAGTCATTCTCAGAAAACACACTTAAAGATAACATCTTCTAGCTTGTTTCAAGGCTCAACGTAAAGATGGGAGAAGTGCAATTTAATAAGTGCTGGCCACATCTCTTTTTCACTGATAATCTAATGAGCTGTGTGCTTTCTATATCCTGGGGAGAGAGACAGTGAGCCCTGTCAGAAACAGAGCTTTTGTGCCACTTGTAATCTAATCCAGTTGGTTTCTGGCCTTTAGGGTCTTTATCCATTGGCTTGTCATCCTTTCTGTTTATGGCAATAAATTCTTCCCCTCTTCTCTTTCTCCAATATAGATGTTTCCAGGGTACGTGGTCACAGTATTCAGAGCTGCCTTAGCAACCATCTTTTAAGATAAGACACTTCTCTACATTTTAAACCACTATATATGAGCATTATTTGTAAATATTCATTATCTAGGTACAAGTGGTAGTCCTTAAAAAAAAGTGTTTGGTCAAACATATTAAAAGGTTTTGAAGAAACAGATATATCAAGCAACTTTCCATTTTATTTATTTTTTACTTTGTCAGTGTATTTGGCTGACGCAACATGTTGTCATCACTGGATTCAGCAAGAAGAGTAATGATTGCTCAGGCTTTTATAACACTTAGGCATTCACATCACTTCTGTATGCAAACTTAGAAAGAGATTCTGTTCTCCTGAAGGAAGAAAGAATAGATAATGTAAGCCCTAGGAACCAGCACTCAAGGGCTGTCTCGTTTTCATCTGTTCAGCAGGACTGTAATCCAACTGATAACTTTGCCATTTAGGGGCTGCGTGACCTCTCTGTTGTGGTGTTAACCTCTTCAGATATTAGTTTTTCCCAAAATAGGTCTGATTATTAATGTCTACCTCATGGAGCTATACTGAAGTGGGTAGCCATTCCCTTCTCTAGTGTATCTTTCAGACTCAGGGATCGAACCCAGGTCTCCTGCATTGCAGACAGATTCTTTACCATCTGAGCCACCAGGGGAGCCCCATGGAGCTATAACCTGGATAAATTATGTAATTTATGTCAAAATATATACATAGTATTTCCAAAATATATGACATATAGGTGTTAAATAAATGTTAGCTCTTATTGTTATTACTATCATTTTTGCTATTTCTCTGTCTAAAGGCTGCCATCATCAACTGTGTTTCCCTTGCCTATAGTCCTGCAACATTCCCACTCTGCGTGGGTCTAGTTTTCTATCCATTCATTTCATAAATAACTATGTTCTAGTAGAATGTGAGTCTTGTGGGGGCGGGGACTGTGTCCATCTGAAAGAAGCAATAGGGCTGAGTGGTTAAGAGTCTCTGGAACCAAACCATCTGGCTTTGATTTCTGCCTCTACTACGATTAGGTCAGTGACTTTGGACAAGTTTTTTTAACCTCTTGGAGACATGCTTTTCTCATCTGTAAGATGAAAATAACTATAATGGCTAGTTCATAGGCTATTGAGAGATTTGATTGTGTTAATATATATAAAACGATTTTGAACAATGCCTGACATGAAATAAGGCTTTGTAAGTGTCTGCTGTGATTATGAGTATCATTCTTATTGTTTTATCACTATAGAACACACACGTAGAACACGTAGAACACGTAGAACACGTAGAACAGTGACTGACACGTAATAGGTATGTAACAAACATTTGATCAATGAATGAACAAGTGCTAGATATTGGAAGTACAAAAAGAGTTAAGAGAATGTTACTTCTCTAGAAGAGAGCAGTGAAGACATTTACAACTTAATGGAGAGCTCAGGGTCAGCAGTCAGGGCCCCTGCCCTGGCTATACCACCAGGGATTAAGTGGCACGTGCAATTTATGCAACAACATGAAGCAAAAATAAAAAGCAATGCTACAAGGTGTTAAATGACTGAAGAGTTGATTAGATACTACAGAGAATATGTAGGAATCCAAGCTATTTTATTTATTTACATTTATATTACATTGATTTGAATTCCACATCATTTCAGCAGAAACCAACTAAAGAATTGCTACATATAAAAAAAGCATAGGAGTCAAGTAAGGATAACGTAGGTATTTAAAATATTGCCTCAATATTTGAAAACCATTTAAGAGAAGGTGCCTCAGAGACCCACTGTAAGCCACTGCCGTGAAGGAATAATTGCTCTGGTATCACAGGCTTTTCTCTCCAATAGAGAGAAGTGGCTTTAAAGCTAATGGCAACAAGGTACTCTTGAACTTGCTCGTGTGAAAAGCTCTATGTTCCAACATTAGTGCTCTTTCCTTAGAAAACAGACCCATGTTAAATGACATTTTGATGGGAACAAATTTTAAAGTGAGGAAAGCCAAGCCTGGTGAAGCCGTGGGAAGACGGGGCTCTGATATATCTGCAGGATAAGAGAAAACTGGCTCGTGTTTCCACGGGGTACTTTGGAAATTGGTACCAGAGGCCTTGGGATTCCGTGGTGGCTCAGACAATAAAGTATCTGCCTGTAATGCAAGAGACCTGGGTTCGATCCCTGAGTTGGAAAGATACCCTGGAGAAGGGCATGGCAGGCAACCCACTCCAGTATTCTTGCCTGGAGAATCTCCATGGACAAAGGAGTCTGGTGGGCTACAGTCCATGGGGTCGCAAAGAGTCAAGACACGACTGAGCAGCTAAGCATGGACCAGAGGCTTTATCATATTCATTTAATTTGGTCCAGTGTTCATTTGTATGATTTATCCTGAAGACGTCATCAGAGTGGTGCACAAATACAGAAAACAGTTTATTGCAACACCATTTGAAATAAACTAAATGTGCTTTAGAGATTAGTTAAATCATTATGTTAAGGCACAGTGATTTTTAGGAAACAAAACTCATCTTGTTGAAATACATTCATGAGAGAGGCAAATGGTCGCTTGAAGTTGAAAAGCACATTCCAAAACAATGTGTGTAATGTGGTCACAATCATTCAAAGATATATATCCATATAGGGAGGTTATGGATAATTTTTATTTTCATCTGCTGTTTTCGTTTTCTTCCATGAATGTATATTGCTTTTGTAATCACAGTCACTGTAGCATAAGAAAGACATTTGACCTCTTTGTTCCGTTTTTCACAAGAGTATTCTGATTTCCGATATAATATATTGCTTCCTCATAGGAAAAGGCAGAAACAGCCTTGTATTTTGGCATCAGCAACTGTACCTTATCTGCTTTGGCTAATGCCATTAATCCATCTGTTCTGCCAAAGTATAACATAGATACTGGACTGTAATAATTATGATTTATTCTTTGCTTAAGCTCATAATTTTGTATATCTGCTTGCCTGGATAGTTCTGGCTAATCACCTGCGTAGATTTGGCTCTCACAATGAACTTTTCCCACTTTCAGGTAAACAACTACAGTTTAGAAGAAGTAACACATGAGGAGGCGGTAGCGATATTGAAGAACACATCAGATGTAGTTTATCTAAAAGTTGGCAAACCCACCACCATTTATATGACTGATCCTTATGGTCCACCTGATATTACGCACTGTAAGTACCAGGCTTAGAGCCGTCTTTGAACAGCAGGCCAGGTTTTCAAAATTGGAAGTCTATAAAACTTGGCAAGATCTTCTGCTTACACCTTCACTCTTGTTTAGCCTGTGGAAATCCTGCAGAGGGATCTTGTACTTCAGTTGCCTTGGGGACCTTACCTGAAGAGCTGGCAGGCTCACCACTGCAGAAAGGCTTCATAAAGTATGTTATGGACAGTGTGATTACAACAACATAGGAGCAACACAGTTTTTTTTTAACTGAAGTTTACATACAAGGTTGTATTAATTTCGGCTGTGCAGCAAAATGATTCAGTTATTCATATATATATGTATACACCTTCTTTTTCATATTCTTTTCCATTATGGTTTATCACAAAATATTGAATATAATTCCCTGTGCTATACAGTGGAAACTTGTTGCTTGTCCATTCTATATTTAATAGTTTGCATCTGCTAATCCCAGACTCCCCATCTATCCTTCCCTAACTCCCCCCGCCCCTTTGGCAACCACAAGTCTCTTCTCTATGTCTGTGAGTCTATTTTTATTTCATCCATAGGTTCATATTTTCCGTTCCACATAGAAATGATATCATGTGGTATTTGTCTTACTTTTTCTGATTTAACTTCACTTAGTATGATAATCTCCAGGTGCATCCGTGCTGCAAATGGCATTGTTTCATTCTTTTTCATGGCTGAGTAGTATTCCAAGGGGCAACATTTTTAAAAAATTTTTATTGGCATATACATTTATTGGAGCTTAATTGCAGCTTTACAGTGTTGCATTCGTTTCTGGTGCACAGCAAAGCAAATCACTGTACGTACACATACATCCACTCTTTTTCAGATTCCCTCCCCATTTAGGTCACCACAGAGCATTGAGTAGAGTTCCCTGTGTGATACAGTAAGTTTTCACTAGTTTTCATAGGTTATTCATTTAAAAAATTTTTAGATTTACTTATTTTTTAATTGGATGATAATTTCTTAACAGAATCGTGTTGGTTTCTGCCAAACATCAACCTGAATCAGTCACAGGTGTAGCTGTGTCCCCTCCCTCCCACCTCCCGCCCCATGCCACCTCTCTAGGTTGTTAGAGCCCCAGTTTGAATTCCCTAAGTCATATGGCAAATTCCCATTGGCTCTCTGTTTTGCATATGTTAATATAAATGTCCATGTTACTCTCTCCATCCACTCCACCCTGTCCTTCCTTCTCCCCATCTCCGGATCCATAAGTCTGTTCTCTATGTCTGTGTCTCCATTGCTGCCCAGGGCCAACACATTTTTAAAGGCTATTTCTCAAGCCCCTAAAGCACAATAGCTCTCCTGCCATAATAGTCTCTCTTCCTAGTTCAAATCTATATAGTAACAGAGTGGAAAAAGAGGAGACTGGCCAAATAAGCTGGGGATAGCACTGTTCTTCCTGGGGAAGAGGATCTTGCCCTCAAATGGTGAAATCATGCTCCTTCATCACCATCCTTATAGTTCTAACCTTATCAGAATTTGGTATATTGGCAAAGAAGCCAGATAAAATTTTCAGTCACTAAGACAGTGGAGATGGGCTGGAGATGGGCGCTTCTTGAGCAACAACTAACAATGAGACGCTGTGCTCAGGCCGCACAATGTCCGTTTCTACACAAGCCCCATGGCTTCCCCTCTTCTTAATAGGCCAGCAAGAAGATTCTCTGGGGACTAGATTTAGAAGCAGTTCATTTTTCTGATGTGAGTTAAAGGGACAGTTTTGGCAGCATCAGTAAAAGTGCTCATTCTGAAATCTTGAGCAATCATTTGTGAGATTGAGAACTCAGAATGTCTTCAGGTCCTGTCATTAATTAGCACTATGCTCTTAAGCAAATCATTTAACCTCTTTTAGATATGGATGTTTCTCTTGAGGGAAATTTAAATGTTGAATGATTTTGTTACCTGCCCATTACATTGGCTATTGGTTTTCTTAATGATTGTAAAATGACTTGCCTCGGAATATGTCTTTTTGTCAAGCAAGCAATAAGGCGAGATCAGCCTTACCTTAGGATATTAAAGAGTTTTAACTTTCAGAGTTTTTCAAGCCAAATAATGAAGAGTCAGTCTTGAGGCTCTGTGATTTTCTTCTTGACAAGCATATAGAGCATTTCTTCTTTCTGTCTGAAGAAAAAAGGAGAAAACAAAATTTGCTATTCAATTCAAGAAATATATAATTTCAATATGTGCAAAATACCTTATAAGGTAATATGTGGGACCCAAAGGAGATACAGTCCTGGCCTTCATTGAAAGGAAGGTTAATTCAGGTATATAAGTAACAGCAGTATTTGACAAACTTAGAGGGATGTACATGCCATGAGAGAGGTAAAAGAAATGTGCTTTGGGCATTCAGAGGAAAAGCATAACACCTGTCTTTGGATGATCAGAAAAATCTTTATGCAGAGGGTAGCATTTGAATTGTATCTTGAAAAAATGGATTAGATTTCAGTATCAGAGATGGGAGAGGAGACAGAAGTTTTAGGTAGCTGGTAAAGTGGAGCAAAAATACAGATATTAGGAAGAACAGGCTTTATTTGGGGACCATAGGAGATGTGTAAGAGGGGGATATCAAAATGAGTCAGCCTTCCAAGAATGATAAAAGGGAGAGTTTATATTCAGTACAATAGTATCTATGGAGAGTGTATAAGCAAGAGAATGTCATGATCAGACCGGCATTTCTCAATATATAAAATGGATCTGGGGAGAGAGTAGTGGCAGGAGACCCAGTTAGGAGCTTTTTAGTCACCCCAAAGGGGGATGAATTAGGGTGGAGGAACAGAAAAGAAAGGCCAGAGTTCTTAGCTTTTCTGGGATGGGAGAATAAAGTATTTAGGGATCAAAGTCTTATACAGTAACTTGCTCCAAGAGCCTTCTGCTTTTGATGGTTTGATATTAGCTATGTGAAAAGAATGTGAGCCCTGCAATTAGAAAGGTAACATTTTTATTTCAATAGAAAATGAATCATTGTTCTGAAAAATATGAATGCGGGATCTCTCCTCCTGTTTTTCTCTTCACCTAATTATATGAACTGGGCTTACAGATAAAACTGTTATTACATCTTTCCAATCCTAAAGGTCACCATGTGCTTGTACATATTAAGAGAAAACAAACAGCAACTCCCATCTCTTGAAGGATCACAGAATTCTTAGCATGTGGCACAGCCTTTCTATTTTTAACAGGACTGTAGCAGGACACATTGAATCACCCACATAACAGATTTCTTTTTTTTTTTTTCACTCCTTAGCTTATTCTCCACCGATGGAAAACCATCTTCTCTCTGGCAACAATGGCACTTTAGAATATAAAACCTCCCTGCCGCCCATCTCTCCAGGAAGGTACTCACCAATTCCAAAGCACATGCTTGTTGAAGACGATTATACCAGGTCAGATATGTTTGTTGGATAATTGGGTTTGCGATCTTTACCAGGCAAGAATTGCATTTTCTTAACATGGTAGCTGTTGCTTCTCAGCTCTATTCAAGCTTATTATAGTCTCACCTGAAGTGGAAACCTGCCAAGACTTATAAGCATATGTCATTGTCCTCTGTTGGAAGCAAAACCACAGATTCTTCGTGGAGAAATTGTAATGTACACACATCCATCCCTTTGCAATTTATTAGGACTTTTTGATATCTAACATCATTTGAGGTTTACAGCTATACTGTAAGATAAGTATTATTACTCAAAGAGAGAAAGTGGTGCTGAGGTTCAAAAAGAAGGAAGTAGCATACCAGCGTTATGTATCTGGTTAGTAGAAGAGTCAGAACTGAAAGGCTGTTTATTTGTGTGTTTGCTTTTTCTCTAAATTCCATGTTGTTGCCACTATTGGCCACACACAATTCAATGAACCTGGGGAGTCAGTCAATCCTCCGTTGAGTGCAGTAACTGCAGGTAGAAAGGAAAGGAGTGAAATTAACTCCAAATGGTTTGAATTTAATATATTTCATTCATCTCAAAGGGGAACAAGGCAGGATTTTAGGGCAGAGCAACAGAACCACATGGCTTACCCCACAAAATAAAACTAAGTTTAGCTGGCATGCCTCTGAAAAAGTTAGGTCTGATGCTTTAGAGAAGACCAACTCAGTTCACTTCATGGTCCAGTCAGGATTCAAGAAATTTTGGATGATGAACAAATGCATGAATGAATGCATATATGAATAATAGGAAATGCACATTTTTTCTTTTTTACCTTTAAGTGTTTTTTTTCCCCCAAAGTAATGTATGCTCATTGCATTTAGTGAGGTAATGCAAAGATGTTCAAGAAACAAAAAGCTCCCTCAAACTGGCTGAGCTTCCCAGTATGGCGCTGAACCTTTCATCCCTTGCCTGATGTCAGACAAACCTGTGCAAAGCATACTCAGGTGTAGGTGGAGTCTGACATTGTTTTTAATAAAATAAGTGTGTATTTTACACATGGTTCTGCAACTTGCCTTTTTTGCTTTGAGAAATACTTTTACCCAAAATGAGTTTGCCTATAGAAATATACACTTTTTTCCCCTGAAAGTGTTTGTGTGTAAAAGCGATAGAGCTGGATCCTTTAATTTTGTTTCCTGCCTGTCTACTGAAGTCATTTGTCAGCCTTTAAAAAAACTGGGGGGACTTCCTGCTGCTTAACTTTCCTCTCTGGTGCCTGTGTGTGCTTTGGGCTTTTCATTCCTTTTCAATGATTAAGCATTTTCCATTTATTTTGCAATCTCAGGTTTGCTGAAGTAGCTTGTTACATCTTTAGCCAAGGAATGGAATGTTTAGATGCTGCAAATGTACATCTGTGGTTTAAATCAAATATAAACCTCTTCCTATGCTGAAACGCCTAATCTCTATGCTCTTAATTAAAATGAGGGCTGCCGCAAAGATAATCCTCAGGGTTCTTTAAAGATTGTGTAAATACAGGCACCTTTATTCACCAGAGCAATAATCTATTTGCTCTCATCCTATCGCTAATATTTGATAGGATTTTAATTTGAAAATGCCATTTATCTTACTAGGCCCCATAGTGAATTAAAATTTATTAAACCCCATTCATAATCCAGGCCCTTTGCTTGCTCATTTACTTATACTATCCTTTTAATCCTCTCCAAAACACAGAAGGAAGGACTGTTATCCCCATTTTAGAGATGCAGAAATTGGAGCTCAAAGAGGTTAGGGAACTTGCTTGGGGTCATACAGCTTTTAAGTAGGAAAACTGGGTGCCTTGCCAGCTTTAAAGTTCTGGCTAGGAGGAAACATGTTACCTTTCTCCTTATTTTAAAAATGAAAAGCAAATTGTGTAAAACTGTTTTCATCATAAAAATATGTGGCTCGAAAGAGACCTGAGATGCGGTCAAGAATCCACCTGCAATGCAGGAGACCAGGATTCAATCCCTGGATCAGGAAGATCCCTTGGAGAAGGGAATGGCAACCCACTCCAGTATTCTTGCCTGGAGAATTCCACAGACAGAGGAGCCTGGCAGGCTGCAGTTTATTGGGTCACAAAGACTTGGATACGACTGAGTGACTTACACATGCATACACACACACACACACACACACTCATAATACTCAATCTATCAATTCACATGGAACATTTTAGATGGTATGAGAGAAAGAGATTTCATTTTTTTCTACAGTGATATACCCTACCTCGTATGTTACTTCCTGCCTGCCTCCTCCTTTGTTCTCTGGCAGGACAGTCACATAGCTTACATAAAATCTTGCAAATGGCTGGTGCCTGCAAAACTTGTGAAATAAATTGTATCACTTCACACACACACACACACACCCCCCACACCCTTCCCCACGTCCTCACCACGGCTGTGTGTTCTCACGGGTGCTCTGTGATGGAAGGCATTGCCACAGGTCTCAGAGGTAAATATTTTCTCAGAGGCGCATTCACTACCTTATTCATGAATATTCACTGACGACTTCCCACTAGACAGTGAGCACTGCGGTAGGGATGCAAAAAGAAATAAGAAACAACATCTCTAAGAACTATCAGATTGGGACGAAAATATATATGAGACCAGTGGATCCCCCAGTACCTATTCCCTGATCATGCAGACCCCCCTCTGTGAAGTTTTCCATAAAAAAGCCTGTATTCATTTTTTATCATCCTGAGATTTTTGTCAAAATTCCCTTCCTTTGTGGTAATCAGTGGCAGTTACTTATCCTTACCTAGAAAAGGAAACGTTGGTGACTTGGTGTCAGTCCTCATTTTTTAAATGTAAAAGTTCTATAAAATCCCAAAATGTGGGAACTACTAACAGAAACAAGCAAAATTAGATCAGTTCAATGAAGTGCCCTTGCATGGCCCTAGCAGAGTTCTCCAGCACCTGAGCTGGCACCTAGTTAATATTTATAAATGAGTTTTTTGAGTTGTCCGTGAATGCCACACAGGAACAGCCCGTGACATCAAATAAGGTTTTAAAGACAAGATAGCTTGTGTTTGAGTTTGAAAAAATGTGTAGACTCTCTTTGTTAGAGACGCAAAAGATGAGGAAGGGCATTCATGGTAGGGATAGTGTACACATGCTCAAGGAAGAATGTAAAATAGAATAAAGTGAATATATCTGTTATAGTTTGAATACAAGACTCTGAAGGAAAACTACCTACCTTTAAATTATCTTTATTGTTCTATCCTTTCATTGGCAACCTAGTCGCAAGATTAGAAATATATAGAATAGTAAAAAGAAAAAGATTACTACTGTGCACCATTAAGTGCTTTAATATACTTTATCACCCCTATGAAGTGAAGTGAAGTCGTTCAGTCATGTCCAACTCTTTGCGACCCCATGGACTGTAGCCCACCAGGCTCCTCCGTCCATGGGATTCTCCAGGCAAGAGTACTGGAGCGGGGTGCCATTTCAGTCTCCAGGGGATCTTCCTGACCCAGGGATCGAACCCGGGTCTCCCGCATTGTGGGCAGACACCAGCAGACGCTTTAACCTCTGAGCCACCAGGGAAGCCCAATCACCCCTATATTATGTATATGATATCCTGTTCTTGATTTTTGCAGGTAACAAAAAATGAGTTTAAGTAATTTTCTCATGCCATACAGCGAACAAATAGCAGAATCAAACTTTGAGTTCGTGTCTGTGTTCAAAGTACTCATTCCCATGCCCCCACCCACTATCTCATACAGTTTCTTTCTATGAAAAAATGTTGAGTAAAGAGGATTATGCTTCTATTAGGAGAATGGTCCTACCACTTACCACCTAGATAACCCTGAACAAGTCTTTTAATGTCCTGAGTCTTGATTTTCTCATCTGTAAATTTGTTAACATTATTACACTCCTAAGGCACTATAGTGGCTTACATTTGTGGCCTACTTTTTATTTTCCTAAAATAGTAAATCAAGAGAATTAATCTTAATGGTGTGACTTGGGCTGATAGGAAAAGAGTTCTGTGAAATGGGAACCTTCCAACTACCTATATAATTATATCAAATTGGCAGTCTTTTGTTCCAGATGTTCATAATATCTCTATCGGTTGTGAGTATTTTCAATCTTGCTAATTTATATTCACTTTTGTTGGAGAAGTATAATAAGGCCTATAAAAAGAATTTTGATTAGAAGTATACTACAATGACTTACCTGGATTTTTTTTTAAACCTCTTTTATTGTTTCAAGATATGTGTACCTGAGTAAGCTGGGAAATTTTGTTTTTCCAGTGATGTAGAGAAAGGAAGCCTAAACAAAAAGGCCTTGAATAAAATTCTCTTAGTAGAAACCCTGCTGAGTCCCTTATAAATCAAAATTATTGTTATGTAAATACTCTAGTCTTCGATTTTTGGGAAAAAGAGCTACTACAATGATGCTGAGATGGTTTCTTGGCTCATGAAATTATAGACTATCAGAGTTGGAAGGGCCATAAATGAAGATAGAGTCTAATCTTTCTCCATTTGGTGGGCAAGAAACACGAAGTCTAGCAAAATTTGTTGGCTATCCATAAGTCCCACAACTTGTAGGTTATAGAATCAAATTTAGAACCCTTATCTTTGAACACCCAGTTCAATGTCTTTCTGTTTCTCTAAGCTGATGTTCATTTTTTTATGATAGAGTAAGAAGGTAACAATTACAAAAAATATATAATCAATCAGTGATTACCTATGAGCAGTGCCAACTTTGTGCATTACCTATACCTATAGATTCCCCCTCTATTGAGCCAAGTCTTCTCTATTACCCAGAAGAGATAACAATCACACACCGTCACCGTCTAGCCAAGTAATCTCAGGATATACAAACAAATCATTGATACTAAAATAAAACCAAAGACTTAGGGATACAAAGTAAAACTGCCCTTTCAAAATAAGGGGATTTAATCTCCCAAGTTATGAATGTGGTAAATACCATTATGAAAGCAGGACCTTAAATTAGCTGTGAGTGATGTATTTCCCACTTTTAGAAACC